TTTCAGGTCTTAATGAAAAATGACTGGAAAAAATCTTTCAATTCAAAACCTGCTTTGAACAAAACAGTGGCAATGACTCTGCCACTTTCCATTCTATTTGCATTGGGCCTGAAGAAGCGTTACCCATCCTGACCCAAGGATACCAGGCAGTGGAGAAGCCTGGCACTGTTTGGCATCACCCTTCAGCTGTGTGTGGATTAACTGCAAGAATTCAAGCAATATCATGGTTACATTTATTTTGTTTGGGAAAATATTATATAACCCCATAAACTGACAAAATCCAGTCTCACCGAGAACAGTAAAAATACATTCCTGTTATTCAGGTGACAACTAAATATAAGCCAGTAACTTATGTGCTGTGGCAGCTTGCTGTGTACCCTGAGTCTGTATTTGATTCAAGTTAATTTCAGGGTGTGAAAAGATGAAGGAACTCTTCAAAAGCAGGAGAAATTCAGGACCCTTTGCCCTCCACCTTCCAAACCTCTGTCTCTGATGTCAGTACTTTCGTTTATTGCCTTTCACTGTAGCACAAGGATGGGAAAGACCTCTTGAGAAAGAGAATGTTGCTATTATAGGAAGGCATTTTGTAATATTTTTATTCATAAACACAGAGTCCCATCATAAATACGTTAAAACCTGTCATTAGAAGGCTGTTTCAGAATCCAACATTTAAATTAATTAGGGTCTTAGACTCTCTGAACATCATCCTGAAGTCTGACCATAGCCAAATGCTATAGAGTATATTACCATATACACTTTTTAGACAGTGAATTATGCCAAGGAGTTTGTGAATTACACTGTACTGGAATGGCAGTAAAAATATCAAGATCAAGTAAAAATCAAGATTATGAAGACAGCTGTGAGGTATGTTCTTAAAAACAAAAGTCTAGTCTACTAAACTTATTGCTCTGTCTGCAAGATGTTTTCAATTATTCAGAAAATCTCAACAGTTAATATGAGTTCTTGCACTTGCAGGTTCAACTGTGCAACACTCTCCGTACGTTAAATGAGCCCTGAAGGACTGTAGAATAAAAGTGCATTTTTAACTGGATTTTTAAAACATCAATGCTAAAATTCAGTTCTACTCTTTGTAGAGGAAAAGGTGCTCAGAGGATGAAGAAATTCTGTGTGGTTGAAAGAGAGACCACTATATAGAGCCATAGCTAAGAAAGAAAAATAAGAGCTTTGGAAATTCAGTTCAATTCAATAGTTCAAAACCTTCAATGCTGTCAAATGACTACTACGAAGACAAGTAAAGATTAATATTGAGCACAGTCCAAAGCATGTCAGAGAAGATATCTCAATTTTAGTGGATTGGACTCCATTTGCTTCCCAGTTGCAGTGAATGGAAAGGGGCAGTTTGGTTCTGGTTTTAATAAAAAGAGATATAAAACTCAAAACTTCCAATAAATTAGATATAATTGATACAAGCTAGGTAGTTTCCTTTCAAATAGATTAGTTTGTGTTCATGACACATTTTCTTCTAACATCCTACAAAGCATCCATCAGTTCTGGTGAAAAATTCTAGCTTTCTAGTGTATTCAGCTTCAATCTCTCATCCTCAGAATGTGGTAAAAGAGTACAAAGGACACATTGCATATCCCATCATTTTCAAGCATTTTGTATTTCACAGGCTAGGATATCAAAAGCCAGATGACTGGCAATCATGAAAAATAATTTGAACCTCTTAATCCAAACTGTTGTTACCTGGAAAGAGATCTTTGAATAGGTCACATCTTTCTACACCGATCTTGCACATTTAGAAATATATTTGGCACTTTACAATGTATTTTTAAACTAATTCCTCTTGCACACCTGCATAATTCATGTTCAAACATCCACTTGGCCACATTTGCAAAACTGAAAAAACTCAGATGTCATAATTGTGTATGCTTAATTCCAAATCCATTCTTACATGAAACATTTGGATATAAGAAATATCCATTCTCCCTGCCTTTCACTATGAATTGATTTATTGGGAAGTAGGGCAGATTAACATTCCCATATAAGGTGCTTTTTAGCAGAAATATCTTTAATAAGAGGGCACAGAAATTTTCCGATACTGCAAGTAACCAAATGAATCAGATACTAAAGGAGAGGGCAGAATTACAGCACTTCCATAGAATTATGGGAGCAATAAGGACAAATTAACACTAAAGCTAAATTAATTACACTCATTACATCATGTAATGTAGTAACATTAATAGTACTCCACATGAATGGTAAACTGATGCTGATATGACTGAAAATAATACACATCCTTGGGTCAAAAAGCAAGACACATTCTAATCCTGTGCCCATTGTATTCATCTATGTGGTTACCAAAACTCGACTTCATCCACCACCACCCCCCTGCCTCCCAGCTGAAAATCACTATAGCTACTTATATAATCGTTAAGATATGATCTCAGCATATAATCATGACATTATTTTACAACTCAGTTACTCCAACACCACTTTTTCTGATCTTCACAAATGGTAATTAGGCATCTGTGTCAAAAGCGATTCTGCAAAACTTTATGTATTTTTGTTTGTCCTCATTTTCAAGGTCTTCCCTAGTTATTATTTTCTTTTTAAAACGAACATCTTATTCCATGTTGAAAATTCAGTTTCTGACCCTTACAAAGTTCTTATACCATCACTTATTGCCTGTGTGGGTTTAGATTTGGGGTTTTTTTTGATTGTTTTGTGTTTTTTAGAAAAGCTCCTAATAATATCCTCTCTGATCAGAGCCCTCATCGTTGAAAGAGTTCCCTATAAAACTCTGCTTGGCTATCTTGCTGTCTGCTGTCAAATATCTCAGTGACACCTTTAGACAGCTCACAATGGAGCCATTATCCACCTCACCAATCATCACAAGATCATCATTTCCCTATACAGTTTACTCACAATGTTTTATTCTATTGCTTTAATCTCTGAGATGAGAATAGGGTCTTGGTCCTGCATTTGCATAGCACCCAAAACAGAAATTAGGACACCTTCTACAGTACTGTGATAAAAAATAAGACGGTCTCAATCACAAAGAGAGAAAATTGAATTTGTTCTATAGTCTCCATTCAGTTGTTCTCTTTAATGTCTGCTTAGACTTTGTAATATCAGTGAATCTTCTCAATGATGGTTGATCACATTTCTAATCCATAGGAGGAGGATATCTTTTTTATTTTTACAAAGATGAAGCTCTTCATTTGGCACATGAGGTTCAAGCCCCAAAATTACATTAAATAACCCAAATTAGGTTCCTCTTTGGAATTAAGATATCACAAAAATTCACTACCAGAGAAAAACCACCTTTTCTGCTTCTCCTTTCATTGTTTTCTGTCCCTTGAGGAGAGAAAGGAGGAACTCCTCTACAAATTGACAAGAAAACAAACCAGAGTGGAAACACAAAAGGAGTACTAAAGACAGACTCTTTTCTCAGAGCTTCTGATCTTTATTCTAGGCCTTATCCTTCCTCCTCTGGCTGAAGTGTTTTGCCCAATAATCCTTCTATGAAGTATGTTACTCACATAGAAACAAGGTTATCCATCTCATCATTAGCCACTAGGATTTCCCATATGCTGTTATACCTTCAGTATGAATACTGCCTCCAACATGGATTAGAATGAGGTTTGAAAACTTTGCCCTTGCCAAAAGAAGACACTGGCAGAGAGCTTAAAAACCAGCTGCGTTAAGCAGAAATGCAAATGGCACGGGACAACCTTCTAGTGAGGACTACAGAGGGAATAACTATTTCAACATCTGTGACTGAGGAGCTGGTTAGAAACAGCCACTCTAATATATTGTTGCCCAGACAGAACATGATAGTACCTGCAGAAGTTGTGGTCTGGACTTCCTGGTGCATCACAGGACACCTTAAGTTCTGGAGTCTAAACCTCGAGCTCTGAATCAGGGATGACATATGGATGATGCCCACAAACAGGCAGGAAATACCCTTCTGACTGGTTTTCACCCAGGGCCTGGCCAACCTTGGGTGGGATCCAATTAGGAAATCACTACTAGGTGCCCCCACTTTCAGCGTTAACACCAGGTGTCCCAGCATAAAGGCTGGCTCTGCTTGCAGTGAAGGGGGGAACTTTACCTCTGTAGTGAGTGCATTATGAAGGATTTCCAGTTACCAGAAGGGCTGAAATACACTGAGTAATCTGGAAAAAAAAAAAACAACAAAACTTCTTTGGATAATAAGGCAGCTGTTTGCTCTTTAACAAGGAATCCCAGGGCAGAACTTCAACTTCCTTGCTATTCTGTACAGGGAAAAGATGAGTGCCATAGAAGTAAAGGGGCTCATGAAGCCCAAAGGGAGAGAAAGGATAAAGATAACATCTAATCTGAAGGGATTAGTTTGAATAACCAGTTAATCACAAGAATCATGATTTAGACACAGCAGTCAGTGTATCTTGCCAATTATTCTGGGCCCGATCATAAAAACCTCACTTCATACTAGGTTCTTTGTAAAGCAATCATATAAGCTTGCAATAAAGGAGCTGAGACAAATGGGCAGCAAATGTTATCATCACAATTTGATTTTAAATAAGAAAAATGCAGCAATTGTGCTTTGGATTCTTCTCACATAGTTAAGCTTGATGCGTCACCAGCCAAATTCATTCAATCACAGAATACCAGGTTAGAAAGGACCTCAAGGATCATTTGGTACAACCTTTCAAATTCATTCATTGTACGTCTTGGGTTTATGACATTATCCCTTAATGTGTTTTCTCTTCTACTGCACAATTTTATTACCCTCTCTTCATCCTCACAGAAGGTTTCTGTTGTTCAGAGCGAGTGCATGATGCATTTTTGTTAGCACCTCATAGCCAAAGAAGAAATTTCTGAATAAAGCCTGCCCATTGAAAATGAAACGTGGTGAAAAGAACAAACCCATAAGCTTGAAGATCTTAGTGGAAAATTATTTCAACTTCACCATATGAGTTAAATTCATATATTAAATAAGTAACCGGTTAATGTATTTAAATAACCCCTCCTGGAAAATAGTTTATTTTTGTGTTCTTTATTCCACCAAAACTGCATTGCAGTTTTCCAGTCTTTATATTTACATTATTTGCAACTCTTTCCATAAGTGCCAGTACAAATGTAACTGATGAAAATCCAGAATAGTCATACAAATGTTCCTGAAAGCAAGGTGCATTTCTGAGCAACTTTTTTTCTGATGCGCAATAATATATATGTATATATTAACAAAGCTTCATAATAAAAAATATCTTCCATGGCAAGTAAAACTCCCCCACTTACAGCTTATTCAGATTTCAGTTACATAGACTTCTGCATTTCAAGTTAGTGCAAATAATGAAAGTAAGAGCCTGAGCAGAATGATGTAAATACAATGGAACAAGAGAAACAGCAAAATTTTCCCAACTCCCTGCATACGGTTATAACATTTAGTCAGTATATCATTAGTATTCTTTATATACAATGTATTTAAATAATTGGCTTGTCTGAACTATAGGCAACAAATTTACAAATTCAAATAAAATAATGTCTCACACAAATATGGAATGTCCAACAAATATATGAAAATAAAATGCATCTAGTAACAAAACGTTGTAAATCAAAAAGGTAAAAGATGTCTTCTCTGTCTTGGAAGATTTCAAGGCACTTTCTTGGCAAATCAGAATTCTCTCCTTAGTAGAAAGTCTGCAAGAGAAAAGGATGTGCCATTTTATAACCACTTTCAACACACAGAGGCAGACCACTTAGTATAATTCCATTTATAAATCACAGTTTCTTGTCAATTGCATACACTTTAAGGTTGACATGAGTGGGTCTTGCCCTCCTTTGAACACTAATGAGTTTCACCACGACAAATCCTCGGCGCTGATGCTAAGAGGTTTAACACATAGTGGTCCACGCTGCTGCACCTCTATGAGGAAGTTTCCCATGCACAGTCACATGCAATTCCAGATTCTGGGTGTTATCAACAGCTTTACTTCCATTTACAAGGATTTGAATTAGAGAAAATGAAACAAAACCCACTTAGAGCCCTGGAGGTGAGTAAGTGCCAGGAAGCGTGTGCCCCTGATCCCAGCGGATCCCGGCGGATCTCGGGGCGGGGCACGGAGCCCCCTCGGGGCCCTTCTCCATGGTCCTGAAACAGCCCTCGGCCCATCCCCTCCCCGCTGCCACCACCCTGGCTTTTCCCAGGAAAAAACTTCTTTTCCAACAGGAAAAGTCCACGTCTCCTTTTTGTACCCTGGCATTTACAGGAGAGGAAGGAAAATATTTGCATAATAGCACTGTAGTTTTTTTTGATGAAGAAAAAAAAAGCCTATTTTAGTATTTGCAGGAGACGTGCTTAAAAATAGTTGTCAGTTCTTCAAGCCTCCTTCCTCAAGGTAATCAAGAATCTCCAAGACTCTCTCAGCTGTTAGCTGAGCAAGGGCAAAGACAAATTCCCTTACAGGAAACAAGAATGATGACCCTGTCCTCTCCAAGCTAGTATGAGGGTGGTGAGGAAAACAGATCCTCTGCACCAAAAGATGGAATAGAAGCAATCACAGAATCATGCTAGAAATGCAGTTCTATTTGAGGGATGAACATATATAACTCCTGTGCATCCCTGTCTATTTGGAGGAAAGAGAGAGTGACTCCTGTCACCCTTCAGCCTTCTCAGGACATGTTTCCATACTAAGAAGATATTAGGTATGATAAACATGAAGACTCGAGTCTTATTTCTAGTGATAACTAGCCACTCTGTCTGCTTGGTGGAGGAACAGTGTGAGAGAGCACAGAGGCAGCTGGGAAACATTTAGATCATATCTCTGCTTTTTCCCATAATGTTTTCCTATTTTCAACAAAGTACAGAAAAAGTCTGCCTAGATACAACTTTAAGTGAGCACTGTGCACACGAGCTGCTAACATTGTTTACCATTTAAACCCTCCCTTCCCCACATGTCATCTCTTTAAGTGTATTTTTGGCAGGCAAATTAGAACACCTAGATTTGCAAATCATAGAAACTTTTGATCCTTTTGTACTTTAAAGATGGAAATAAGATTAGATAGATGCTTCTTTACTGTGGATACGGAGGCAGATCTTTGACTCATCTTGAAAGAAAAGGAAAAAAAGGTACTGGAAACCCAGAAATCTTTCTGGAAGCCCTGAGCCATGGACTCAGAGGTGTAAAGGGATACAGATGAGTGAAAAAATGCAGACTAAAGAGGAGAAAGTCTAGAAAATGAGAAGGTACTTGGGTGTTCTAGAAAGCTGAGATTTGAGACATAAGAGTAACAAACAAACATGAATTTAGGGACCTACAGAAAAAAAAAAAAAAAAAGGAAAAAACTAAAACTTTAAAAGGACATTAAGAAAAGGATTCCTGTCCTCAGGAATGAAAAGGAGATCTTGGCAAACTAATGATATCGCTAGTCAGTCTCTGGTTCAGTGCCCCTGATATATTCAAAACCATCTGCAAGACTTAGAAGGCAAGAGGACAAACATACTGAAAATAGTTAAGAAGACGAGAAAGAAATTATGTCATTTCTTCTCAGCACTGAAATATTGCCATATTCTTCAATGCATTTTCTCACAGCTACCAAAATGAATCCCACCTCCACTTGGAAATCAAATCAGCTAACACTGACTCATATCCTACTCTCCCTTTCTTATTCTTGATTAGTATGAATTGAAGGCTTGATGCAGGAAGAAGTGACACATCCACAACTCCCCCAAACTCCAAGCTTGCAGTATTTGTCAGGAGGAGGTAGTGAAAGGAAACAGCCTTTGAAGAAATTTAAATTCCAAATTAAATTCCCTGGTTCTATATATTTTATTGGTCAATAATAACCAGTGCGACATTTAAAATTACTGTTGGAAGTGTAACTATCTTATTTATACAGAAACAAATGCAGAAAACAGCTCATTTGAAGTTGTTCCTTTTGTCAGTGACTGATGTTTAATTGGCACATTTAACACATTATTCATAAACAAGAATGAACTGGTTCCTTCCACAGCCTCTTACTTGAGGCATTTAGCTTTGTCACTTCTCTATGTTCAGTTTACTTCCATCACCATAAAGTGGTATTAACTTCAGAGAAACTCTCAGGAGACAATTTAGGATTGAAAAGTGGTCCCAAAGATGAGTAAAGTTTTAGGATATCTATGAAGATTGCATTGGCAGACCTGAGGCCAAGACACCCTGCTTTTTCCATGGGTTAACAACAAAGCCCTCTTCTGAAAAGCCTGAAATAAATATGCTGGTGAAGTCCTCATGCATTTTTGTTTTAGCAACCAAACTCCTTCTTGAAATTTTGAACAGTAAGAGGTCACCAAGTGCATAATTATGGACTATGGTGCCACAAGGGACTTGTAGGAAATTACAGTAGGGGCTATCAGAAGTATCTGTGCCTCTGTGTATTTCCATGAGGAACCAGTCAGTCCATACAGCAATGCCAGAGCTTCATGTTGATACACTCTGCTAATACCACATTTCTGTATGCCCACCTGATAACAAGGTACAACTCTAAAGTACATCAAGCAAACATTTGTTGTACAAAAGCACAATTCAACAAATAAGGTAATGAGTAGGGAAAATGATACTTACATAGCAAACATCCTAGGACTGTGTACACAAAGGGCTCATTGCTAATCTCGTTAGCAACCTTGCACACCTTTTATAATCTATAAAACAAAATTACCCACAGCAATAATGAATCTCGGTTGCCGGATATCCTCAAAAAACTGCATAAAATTAAATGTAGAATTTGCACTAGAATTTCAGACACCCTACACAGTGAAACCAGTCTCTGATGGAAATTTATGAGATTACACATGTAAGATGCAAAATTAGATTGTACCTTATCCTAGCCAGGGCTCTAGAGGAAATGTGAGTGATGTTAGCAATTCATTTTCTACTAAGTAGTTTCCTCCTAAGATGTTCTGACCAGGTTCAACTCCCAACTTTACTTGAAGGAAGTTAAGTAATTATCTGGGAGGCTATTCTCATCAAATTTCTAAAGCAGCCTCCTCCATAGTTTGTGCACTAATGAGAGTCACCTTTTCTAAATAAATGGTATTACTTATTTTCCAGTCACTTTACGTGATTGCACTAGAGAACACTGAAGTAAATTCTTTTTAAGGGCTTTCAATTTAGTTTGAGGGTTTTTGGTTGGTTGGTTGGTTTGTTTTAATCATTTAATAACATTATTCTCCCTGACAAAATAACATTCAGGCTGTGTTAAAGCAGAAATTCTGTGCAACTCAAGCTGCACCATTGTTTGATAAGAACTGTATGTATCAGTAACAGAAATGATGAATTGCTTTTTTGCTCTTTAATAGTGGGCATATAATAGAAAATTACTATCACAAATCGAGATATACTAAACCCCCAAGATACAACCATACTATTGAGCATTAAGAGAAGGCAAAGAATGGTTCAGATTTGTTATTGCACAAGTCAGTAAGTAATGCTAAAGGGAGCAGGAAGGAGAATGTAGCTTCATATCTGCCCCCTGCAAAAACATGCCCATCTAGTTTTTCAGACTGTAGTTTTCATTTCATTTATGACAGTCTCACTTTGAAGGAACTCATGATATGCAGCTGACTACAACTGCATTAATAGAAAATCTTTCTATATTAGAAGACCTTCAATATATTTTGAGCTATAGTGCAAAAGAGCAACAGTTTCAAAAGGACCAGTACACCAAACACTCAGTAGGAATAGTAGGTTGGTTTGAAACAAGTATCACAGGTAGTATTAAAAGGTACTTTAATTACTACTTACAGGCTGGTGTTGAGCAGTCCCTTGTGTTGTGATACAGTCGGTGAAAGTGCTTGCTACACTCTGATGAAAATGTGACTGGCCCTGTTTGAAAGTAAGCAGGAGTTAACCACAAGCTTTCAGTGTCACTTTGCAGCTTTGATGAACAACATCAACACATAGAATTAAGTCATTGTGGTTGGTTTGTTTGTTTGTGTTTTTTTTTCTTTTTGTTGTTGTTTTTTTCCTAAAATGACGTTTAGTCTTTTACTACCCCTTAAGTAATTACCATGCAATACATGTATAACAATGCCAGTGAAATAACAGAATGAAATACTATTGCTGTGTTATTATGCCAATGATCTGAATAACAGAAAAATGGTCCTTGGAAACAAATGGACTGGCTTAGCCTTGAAATTCCAGTAAATCAAAATTAGCAGTAATTTTTCTTAGACAGTTAAAAATAGAATGGTGGAACTACAACAGAATTTAGTTTGCTCAGTAGTCATCAGTAGTCTACTGTAGAATGATGTAGATGGAATGGAGATATTATTTCTAAAAATAAAAAAAAAAAACAAAACCACAACATTTTAAGCAAATATAACTTTCCAATCCCTGGAAAAATAAAATAATTCCATAAACTAAAACTTATAATTTGCATTTAGATGGTTTATAGAATTCTTAGTATAAAAATCAGTTGTTGAAAAAAAATGACAGCTGAATAATATCCAGGAACCTGATCTCCTGTTTAAATAGTCCTAGCAAGAAAGGGTGCAGACCTGCAGAGGGTAGTGTGGTTTTCAGTGTTTGGATGAGGCACCCTCAGGGTGTCCAGGGTGTAGTACACTGTGTCTTGGTTCTTCCAGCCCGTGCTCCGTTCTCCAGGTGTACAGTGTCATCTGCCTGCATTAGTATTCCATAAAAATACAGAACTACTGCCCCCCAAAACATTGCTCAAGGCTAACAGGTTGCCAAAGAGCCTTCCGTAGTAGGTGACGGCCTTGGGAAGGTATTACTAATGGCGTTCAAATTGAAAAGGAGAGCAAAAATGTAGTAACCTTCTTAGCAATACTACCACTGATGGCTGGGGATGAGTTTCTTGTGATTTGGACAGAAAACACTGATATAAATTGACACTAACTGAACAAGACTAAATTTAACTTGCATCTTCTTAATTCAGGACAAATAGGAACCTTGAAAAAGAAGAGCCTGTTTCAAGCAATGCTACAAAAGGATCTATACAAAGGATGCTGTGTTGACTCACTTTTCTGTCACAGGAAGATAGCAAGAATTTCTGGGCAAAAAAATTATTTATTTCACAATTTGAGAGGTGGTTTATCGGTCTGGTAAAAAAGCCAATTCTCACTGTACAGTGGAGTCAAACTACCACAAGCTTAAGAGAAGGTTCCTCTCTGTGACAGTGACCACACTTGGACATTAAATATATTTTACAGTAGTATGTAGATCTCATGAGATTTTTCAGCCATAAATAAACATTTCAACAAACTGACAAAGCAGCCTTTGCAACTTAGAACTGGAAGATTGCTGCCATTTTTTATCTGAGTGAGTAATTAGGCTCAGGAGATAGTATGTAATTTGAAGTTATCCAAGATATATGGAGATAATCTTAAGTTTTGTCACTAAATAAATTCCTTATCACTAAAAATAGGCTGTTAAGTCTATTTGTGCTTTACAGAGCACTCTATGTCAGCTGGCTTTTCAAGCTGAATTGATAGATAGCTTTATGACTCACAAGATTATTTATGATTTTTCCTATAGTCAGACTGTTACATATGGTTCTTATTTGGCTTTAAAATGTGTCTACTATTCTTGGCATACGAGAAGTGTACAATAATTTTCTTAACCCTGAAACTGTAAAGATAATGGACTATAAAGATAATGTTGATTTCCCCTTCTCCCCACTTTTTAAGAACTTCATCAGTTTAGGATGTTCTAATCCTTGAACTAGTTGAGGACTATAATTGAACAGTTTCAAGAAAACACCTATGGATTATAGGATCTACTAAAGCTGTAAAAAGAGAGAGAGAAAAAAAAAAAAAAAACAAAAAAGGCAGAAAAACCCATCACTGGAGATCTTAAGAGTATAATTTAAAATAAAATAAAAAAAAAAAAAAAACACAGATGTAAGCAGAAATTCTGAGCCAAAGAAATAAACTTTAAGAATTTTGGAACAAACCTGCTTTCCTTATTCATTCCAACTAATGTTAGTCAAATAATTTCAGCAATTTTGATGGCAAATGCTAATGTAGAAAAGAATTATTAATGTAATGAGTGCCTCCAGAAACAGGCCTTCAAGTGTATTTGCTCTTTTTCTTCTCTATGATTTAGTGTTCTCAAAATACCTTCTGTAAAACTCATGGCTGTTTTTCACTGTTCTTTTTGAGTAGTGAAACTTTTTCATTACTTAGCTTCCACAGATTCTCATGTTGAGCTTTTTGTGGTAGCTGAGCAGTTTCCAAAGTTAAAAATGAAAAGGAAATGGATTAAATATTAATATAAGCAAATCATTCTTGTCTGCCCTCCCCACGAGAGGAATTTTCAGTATTCCTGTGCTACGTAAGATAGGAAAGTTTGAATCTGTATGTTCTTTTCATTTCTTTCTCATATGGACTGAATGGTAAGATCCATCATTAATTACTCTGTTTCCTGCAAGAGTGAAGGGCCAGCTGGGCATGGCACCTTCCCTGTAGATGCCATTAGGCTGCAGTTAGCAATTGGCAGAAAGGTGCTTAAAGTTGTGCTTATCCTAAATTTGAGGACACCTCCCCCATGAAAAAGACACAATAAATTCTTTCCTTTCTTGCCAAGGACTGTCTGAAATTTCCAGCCAAGAGGAAATGCATAATTATTTCCAATTCTCTTTTTCATGTTCCAATGCCAACTATTTCTCTAGCTTTTAGTTTTACTAATCCAAATAACAGTTAAAATCACCTACAGATTTGCAGTGTCATACTCTGAAACCTTCATTTTTCTGAATTACAGAACATTTGGAACTGGACAGTAGAAAATCATTGCAAGTATCTTGCTACCAATAACCTTTCTTGCTTTTATTCATAGGGTACAATATTTTTCCAGTTGTTACAAAATAGAGTCCCAAAGGTGAGTGCATTACACAGTACCACCTCAGTTTTCAAGTACCAGTACTTGACCGTTACCATGTTAGCTAGTGATGTAACTCTTGTGGCTACTTAGAATATGTATATGTAGGCAAATAAAGAGCAAACAGCTGTCTTACCTGTAAAATGTTTTATGAATTTGTCTTTTAGACTGGAATCTCTTGGAAAAATTTCTGAAGAGAGAAGAAAAAAATGTATGTAACATAGGAGTTGCAATAAAAGCTCTGAAATCATAATATGCCAAGATTAATTAAGAGAAGGAACACGATTAACTCACAGCATTAGGACTTCCAGCTAAACATATTTATTCACTAAAAATATTTCCTTGCCACTAATGTAATTTTAACTCTTTGTATTCTCCTACATTCCTTTTCAATTCCCCATCTGAATTAACATTTAGCTCAGAAGAGAGCACATTTCCTTTCATACTGTACATAGATGTTTACATGCCAAAATAAATTCTTACCACTGGCTTTAGGCAGTTTCCCAGAGGTCACATGAGTGTATTTTTAGGCTGAGTTTTTAAGCTAAAATGCCCCGAGTCGTACTGCAATTCAGCAAGGTTAGAGGACCTAATTTACTTCAGATTCCTCAGAAACCTCAGTTTTAACTAACTTGTCTTCTTATTGCAAATGAAATACCACTCCTCCATCAAACTTAGAATTTTACTGACATAATTTAGAATTACACAGAATGAAACATACAAAAAGCCAAAATAGTGAAATAATCTGTGTGAGTTTTGAATGAGACGCCTCAGGTGGACCAGTAGTGATGAATAACCAAAGCCTGGTGAAGGTTAGGCTAGGAACAGGCCATTCTTGTTCTGACAAAGAACGTTTAGACCCGGGTCCTTTTTAAGTCTACAGAATTTACTAGGGGAACAGTACCTGCCTTTTGCCCTGTGAAATTCCTTAGGAAAAGTCCTTTAACACAGTATGCAGCCAACTCCCCCCTTCGAAATGCACAGGAGGTAAAAGAGGAGAACAGATTTGATGCTCAGGCAGGGAGCACTGCCAGCATCAAACTGCAGCTGCAGCTGTGGTGATAAGCCTCAGAAGGAACTCTGCAAGGTCTGCTTCCCACAAGTAATGTACATCAGCCTGAGTTTCACACCAACCCAGCTACGCCTGTCCCAGTGGGGAAAACTAGTTCAATTGTGTGTTGGAAAGTGGCTGAATGATGCTGACTGCGGGCCTGCTCCTCCCCTGCTGTGGCTGCCACCCCTCCAGGCAGCAACCAGCTTTTCAACATGTGCCACCTCTCAGCTTTCTTCAAGAGTTCATTTTCTTAATAGTGCAGTGCCTTTGCTTGGTGAAACACAATCTGTGAGCCCCTAGCCCTCCACAAAGACAGCCTAAGCTCATTTGTATAAAAATCACTGGCAGCACAGGTTGCTGGAATGCTTCTGTCTGCTGGCTTTAACAGCAGGGGCAGCTCTGCCTGAACTCTGAATTGCCCAACACAAGCACAACAATTTTCTTCCATCTTCCAGCAGCATAGCCAAGCCTCCTGGCTGTACACAACTGTGAGGCTGTGCTCTGAAAGCACTTCATATTTCAGGCAATGAACATGTCTTTTGAATAGAATATGTACCATCAGCTCCTGACCAGATCACACCAAAGCCAGAAGCAGGATCTCAAGTCCATACAGGATGTTTTTATAAAGCAGTGAAAATAATGACAAAACCTCCATCCTAGCTTTTCCTGGCTTTTAACAAGCTCTTAGTTACTCAAGTCATTTTTTCATGTGGTATATCTATCTACCACCTCTTAAGACAGATAGCTTAATATCCATTCTCACAATGTACGCTCACATCTTCACAATACAAGTTCAATTCCTTTGACATAAATTTCACAAAGGAAAAGCAGAAAGACAAATATAATAAGATAGATTAGCAAAGGACTATCAAAATCAAAATACTTGAAAGTCACACTGGACAAAGCCATAAAAGAAATAGCAAAATGAAAGAATAAAATGTTTTAGGTGCGAAACCCACATGAACAGGAAATATTGAAAGGAGAGAGCTTTTCCTATTCATTATTGCCTCAAGGCCATGTTACACAAACTAGTAAAAACAGTCAGTATATAGTCCCATAGGTTATAGTAACTAATTGTTTTTAATCAGCTGGGACAATATTCAGACTGTTGCATTCTTGACCCCAGGCTTACAAAATCTTCACTGCTCACCAGAGAAAGTACATCTGAGTTAAAAGGCACTTGTGCTGTTGACCCTGGGTTCATGCTGGGTATAATGTCAGTGTATAATCATAAATAATCTTAGTTCAAGGATTTCTTTCTTATTTATATTAAGACCTCCAAGTGTGTCCTTAGAGAATTACTCATTTGGGACAAAATGCTGCCCATTCTACACCCCTTCTACAGACAGCAATGGCCAGGGACAACTAAATGGAGCTAGGGCAGATTTGCCATTGAATTCTGTCTAAAATACTAAGAATATTTATGGCAAAATCTACGAGCAAGACAAATTTAGAGGGTTTTCCACCTCCACTTCAGAGACAGAATGGCTAAGTTTTTACTGGAGATTTGGTTCTCAACCATCTATATTGCTAATTTTCTCAAGTTGTAACACTTCACAGAAGGTCTCGTGACTACAGGTAAAAGGTGACTGGATCTGCCTGAGATTATTCCCATGCTGGGAAAAATGGGATGATGGGGAGAGCTGGCAAGGTCTTAGCTATGAAGCAGTGAGCAACAGTGAGCTCTGGCTCTGGTCTTGACCAGGGGCATCTACATCTCACTATAAGCTTTACTGTAGGCAAGCTCAAAAAATATGAAGTAGCAGAGGTCAGGCTCTGTTGGCCAAGTCCCTTAATCTTTCTGTGAAAGAAAAGAAAAAGTCTTCATCAAGAATCTCTTTTTGTAAGATTATTCACGCATATAAAAAACATACAAACAAAAAAAAAACACAAATAAAAAAGTCATTTTCCCTCAATTACTGGGGGGAAAAAAAAAAGCTAGAAAAAAAACAACTCATAGAGCATTTCTGGAAAACTTCTCCATGGCAGACATATGTTTCAAGAAACCGTAAGTATATCTAACAACACAGAACCAGAAATGACATCAGGTATCACTATACCTTTGTCTGCTACCTAAATGATATTTGTCAGCCTTACATGCAGGTGCTACAGTGCTCTCCACAACACACTTCAGCTACAGTATTTAAAGCTTATAATTTTTAGCCAGGTTTAATAATTATCCATTTTCCAGAATATCCATTGCTAATTTAGAGTATCCACTGTTAATTCAGACTACCCACTGTTACGTTGTAAAACATTCCTTGAAATGACACGTCACATGATAGAAAAACAGGCATTTCTTGGGTTTAGGTTGTTCTACAATTCAAGAAGTTAAGAGGCTGTTCAAATGAGTATAAGTTTGCAGAAATTTGTTTACCATATAATCCTTAGTCCAAGATATAATCATTAGTAATGATAGTATATTTTATTATATATTACAATGGTTATATGATCTGATTTGGTGTTTTATTCACTCTGGTAAAGTCATTTTGAGTTAATACAATTGTCTATTCTTCAAAAAGAATAATTCAGAATTACCTCAGAATTATTCTTCTTTCTTTGCTCTTTATTGTTCTTTCCTAGTCATATTTTCACTTACTTTATAATCCTTTTTAAGCCAAATTAATTTTAATACAAAGCAATACATTTCAGCAGATGTTACATTACTAAAGCAATAATAACGTTTCTTCATATTTTGCACAACCATCATATGTACAATCTTATTAAGAACTTAACACATATTTTGCTGTAAAGTTATTTAATAACTATTGCATTTAGGAAACAAATGCTTTGTTGTGCCTTTTCTTCATTCTAGCTATAAAAAGGCAGAAGAAAATTATAAGTAGTAAGATGCAGCCAACTATACTATTATAAACTCAGTTGCAGGCTTCTAAAAAAGTTGTTCTGCATGAAAATAGGATGTTGGTTTTTCATTTTTTTTTAAAAAAATATCATTTCATGTCATTAAACCGCATACAGCACAGTATGTGTTAATAAAGTTTTAAATAAAAGTGACATTTTGAAGGACAAGACTCTCCAAAGCTTCAACTTAAACAAAGGCCATATTTGTTCATAGTATAGGAATATATCTTGCAGAGGTTGAAATATTCTGCTTCTACAAATACTGGAATACTGTCAGCAATACTATCTTGAGTATTTATATAGACAAGTCCCATATATTTGGATGGAGCTTTTCTTTACCAGAAACTCTCCACAGTGCCTAAAGATGGCAACTCTTGTCTACTGTGATAACACCACACAGTGCAACACTGCTAGTAGTAGGTTTGCATACATTCAGCAATCTCAAGATGGCTTCACTTTACTCAACAATAAAATGTAGAGTGGTAAAAGTGATAGTAAAAACTTTCAAATGTAAATTCATAAAGAAATTGGTAAGGTGTAAGAAGAATTTAAGTAACAGAGATGAAAATAGATTGGAACAAGAGAAAAATACCCAAGTAAAGCAAGATACTAGAAAGATGTGCGAATGGAATGACAATGTAATGCCAGGATGAAAATATCCTCAGCCTGATTGTCTTAAAAATACAGGAAATCTTTACAAAAGCAGTGCTTCAGTACAAGAGTTGTGCTGCCTCAGTTAAAAATAAAAATGCCAACCAAAAAAGTTTCGCTGAAAATCAGAAACTAAACTAGAAAACAATGCAAAGATAAGGTAACCTTATCTTTGAATATCTTTTTATCTTAAGTGGAGAAAAAAAAAATGTTAATTATTATTTGGTAAGAGTATAACGTTGTGCTGAGTAAAGCAGAAGTGTTTGACTACAGTGTCATACACAGGAATCATACTGTAAAACACCCCCTGAATAAATGGAGCATGAAGCACCTAGAAATCTGATCCAAGTGTTCCTGCTGGACGTAGACACAAAGATGTGGTCACCACTGTGGGCAGCTGTCACAGGGAGTCAATCCCACTCCCTGGCTCAGGCATCTGTCACACCACGGTTTTAAACACAGCCCTGAGCAACAAATAATGTTAAGCAGAGTTGAATCAATTAAGATATACTTCTTTCTTCAGTACCCTGACCTATTAGAAGGTCTTAATTTCCTACTTTTATTATTATACTTTGGCCATGACCGAAGTGAACTCTTCTGGGACCATGGCAGAACAAAGTTCT